AAAAAACATTGTAATAAGCTAGTTGAAACCACCAAGCGTTGATATACTTTTTATGAGCTGTCACAACGCAATTTTTCCAAAGATTATTGAAATATAATGCAAATTAAAAGCGTCAACATAGTAGTCGTAAGATGGTTCAGTCACAATTTTTTTTCGAGATGTTGCACCTCTTGGATTTTATAGAAACTTGGCAGGCTGTTAGGCAAGACGTAGACAATTATTACATATTTTTTCAAAGTTTCAATTAGATCTGATAGAAATCGATTTACAACATTTTTACTTGTCTTTCTTTAATACTTTTATTTAGGCTATCATAAAAAAATAATGTTTATAGTAATATAAACTCATAAACCACACTATGGTTTTGCGTCATTAGAAAGGAGCAGAAATATTCTCTATTTAATTATTTCAAAATTTTGATAATACATTCTCCCATAGGAGGCACTTACCATTTGTGAGGGCGACCAGCCCATACAATTAACTTTCGTAGAGATTGCGAATCCAGCACTAGGCTCATTCTGCGTAGTCATACCCCAGAAGGAGATGTTATTCTTATCGTATTCTTCGTAAAACCTCATAATGTAATCGGCCCAAAGTTGATAGTATTCATCTTTAAGTCTGCCCATGCCAGACCAATCGTTATTCGTTTTCATCCAAGTTGGCGCTGACCAAGGAGAGGCAAATAGTTTAATATTGTCGTTTCTCAATGCCTTTGCTTGTAAGATAAAGGGAATCTAGAGCAAAATAATATATATTATAATTATTGTTATTTAGAGATTAGTGTACGCTAACTTATAATTTATTATATACGAAGTTATTATGTTCGACGTTGATATACAGGGTGTAATTATACGAAGGGGCAGAAATGATACTAGAAATTCCTTAGGTGAGAATAAGTTGATTAAACCTAACATACCTGTATTCCAAGTCGCATAATAAAAAAGGTACAGGATGTCAAAGTGAAAAATAAAAAATGGTTTTGCCTTAATAATTTCTAAAGTTTTAGTCAGACATGTCTCCAATTTTCTAGTGAGAGAATGTTTCAGGGTGGGAAAAATAAAATAATAATCACGCATGCGAGGCGTCCTCTACAAGCAATGTTATGGATTATAAGTATTAACATTTTTTCGGGCCTCGTGTATAGTTGCTAGTAACAAAATATGAAATATTGGATTGGATTTAACAAAACGGTATACTTGTTGAAAATAGCTAAAGTCAACCAGTGTGGAGACATTTTTGATTTTATAAATTAGTATTTCGGGTTTAATACCTCCAGGAATATTAACCTCAAAAACGGACATTTTTGTTAATAAATTCAAAACTCATCGCTGTACAGCATTTACAGTTAGAACGACTTTTAAAATAACGCAAAAAAATTGTAGTACCTATTTGTCATGTCGTTCTAAAGGGATGTATTGATTCATTTCCGTCCTGAAAATATCGCGAAACAATTTAAAGAACCAACATGTTTATTAATAAGCTAAAAGGTTATTTATCGCTATTTTTCTTAATTCTGACATACGTTCGCGAAATTTGATTGAATGAATATATTATAGTCTTTACTTTAAAAAATTTTTGCATTTTCTTTAACACCCTTTACAAAATTAAATACAAGTTGGTGTTGGAAAGTGTGCATCATTACTTGATTTTATGGTTTTGATATAATCAACTGAAACGTCATATAACATTGATGTAAATAAAGACACCTGCGATACAATCGCAGTATTTTTGTCGAAGATTAAGTATCACTATGTTGCTGATCATATCTAAGTAATATTTAGTATAATGTACCTTGTAATCCAAATCATCCTGTTGAAGCGCAAAATGTTCCAACGTGTCGTCACCCTCAACATCATCATAAGAATATCCTCTTGTTGAAAAGTCAGTTCCACCAATGGGAACCCTGCACAAATTATATGCAATACCGCTGCTACCAAAATAGCTTTCGATTAAATTTTTTTGAGCCTCTTCTGGTAGTCCCTTTATGTTGATACCTGTAGAGTCTGTGAAAGCCCCACCAAATCCTATGATATTTTGATGCTTCGTATCTGGATCGACAGTGATGGAGCTCTCTTCTCCATCAGTACTTTCGACGAAAGATCCGGTGGTGCTGTAGAATCCTAATTTGGTCTTGCTGGTAGAATACAGTTGATATTTTCCAGTAGATACATCCAATTCTGGAACAGTGTCACAGTATTTTGCATTGCAGACGCAGACACTTCCCTCGTCTGTTTCTCTAATGTTACAGCTTTGACTGAGAACTGATGTTACAAGTATGGACAGTATTAACAGTGGAACGGCCATTTTCGTTACTGGGTGATATGTTCCACAAGTACACATTAGCAAAACTATGTAGACATTGTTTTAATAGAATTTTTGTCGAGCTTTAAATGTAACTTATTTTGTTTATCGATAATCAGACACTTATGCTGAATGACGCAAATTAAATAACTAACGATAAATTATTATAATCAAGAGATCATAAGTACTATTTCTTTACATAGGAATGTTATTCCGGAAGTTCTCCTTGAGCATAGAACTTATAAATGTTAATTGCACACATGAAAAAATACCAAAGAAATGGTATTTTGAAGCTTTTAACTTAACTTTTTTAAAAAATCTATGTTTTTTGTTATTAGCTCTTGTAACTGTTTATATTGGTTGAAAGAAGTACTCTATAGGCCACATGCTGCCAACTAGCATCGAATTTACCAGCAATATCTGGTGAATATAGCAGAATAAAATAAAAATCTACTCACCTATTCTTTGCAAATATTTTTTAAGCATTATCACTTTTCAAGTAACTTGTTTTGCGAATTGCTAAGACATCAGAATCTGACATACAATTAGCTAATCAAAGAATTACGGATGACTTAAATTCTCATTTAAATGTTTCTAACAAATTTTGCCTTTCTATTAATCCTTCTAAATCCAAACTTATGTTATTTGGCCCGACTTAAAAATAGTGTCAATGTTAAACTATGCGGTGATCAACAATTGCAATCAACAGAAATTGCTAAAAATCTAGGCTTAACTATTGACACTTCGTTAAAATTCACCGAACAAGTAAGTATGATCATTAAACGGTCTTTTGGTAATTTTAAATTAATATTTGCAAATAGAGAACTACTTAGTAAAGAGAATAGAATTTCCTTGTGTGATGCATTGGTATTGTCCCATTTGACTTATTGTGACATGGTTTATTATCCCTTTTTAAGGAAATATGACAAAATGCGTTTACAAAAAATACAAAATTCGTGTGTATGATTAATATGTAATGTTAGAAGGCGTGAGCATATTTCACCTATAATTGAAGAAATTGGCTGGTTGAGAATTGAACAGAGACAGTTACTACATAGCTGTTGCTGGTTTCATAAAATTATATGTTTCAAAACTCCACCATATATTTACGGTAAAATTACTTACAGAACAGATATTCACAATTTGATTATAAGATTTAAGAATACGTTATCTGTACCAACTCATGTAACATCTTTATTTCAGAGCTGCTTCAGTTATCAAATTACCAAATATTACAATTTAATCCCTCATTACTTTAAAACCTGTAAATTACCAATATTTAAGTCAAAGATTAAACAAAATATGTTATCCGATAGATGTTT